GTACACCGACCGGAATCAGCTCGCTTTTGTCCAGATGTAACTTTTCAAACACGTCCAAATAAAGGACGTTAACACTACTCCCTGTGTCTACCATAACTCTTTGGACATCGGTCCCGTTCACGTCGATTGTGACCACGAGGGCTTCCAATCCGTGGTCACCACTATTGGGTTGGTCCTCCAAGGTGAAGGTTATAGGCTCCATCTTCTGCCTTTTCCCGGTATCACGGGAGTTTACGATCGCCACCGGGCAACTCTCCCTCGGTCGGGAAGCGTCGTCCAAACCGCCAAAAATCACATGGATGAGCGGTTTGCCTGCCGGTCGACTGCTAGATGGAGGGTCCGGGTCTCTGCGATCCTGACCCGACCGATCTGAGCGTTGGTGAGAACGCCTATTATCTCTCCGATCGGTCTCCTTCTTCGTCTCTTCTCTCTTACCCACACACTTGTTCAGCTTTCCCAGATTCAGCAAATCTTCCAATAGCTGCTTCAAGTGTGTGCACTCCTCTGTGTCATGCCCGGCACAACGGTGATAAGCGCAGTGCTTAGACTTGTCCGGTCCGTCTTGTCCGGGATGAGGGAGGCGAATAAGATTGCAGGACTGAGCGTACTGCATAGCTTCAGCAGCGGATCGGTTCAAAGCCGTAAACTCGCCGGGCCGGGTGCAGGGTCGGGGATGATCATCACCCGATCGATGCTCCGCCCAACCGGTGGGTTTGCGGGATGAAGTCCCGCCCTCTTGCGATCTCTTGACGGCATTCGCTTCTCCGGCGTTAGCGTAGTCCGTCACCCTTCAAAGGGCCTCTTCATAGGTGGTCGGGGGTGGAGGATGAAATCCTGATATAGATAGCCGGCCCGGAGGGAAATATGGAGCATGTAGATGGCGGTAAGATCATCCATCGGTTCAACCTCCCCGACCACTGCCTTCCACTTGACCAAAAAGTCAGACAAGCTCTCCCCCTCCAACTGCTTGGCCTTTTCCAGGTACATGTAGGGCTTCCTCACTATCTTGGAAGTAACAAACTTCCGCATAAACTTCATCGCCAGGGTAGGAAAATCAGAGATGGAACCCGGCTGCAACGTTCGAAACCACTCCGCCGCCCGACCGGAAAGCGTGGAGTAAAAAGCCCTACACATCACGGCGTCTGACAAGCCCATCATCATCATGTTGTCGTAATAAGCGTTGACATAGACCTCAGGGTCCGTACGGCCATCATAACCCTTGTTCCCCGGGACTTGTAGATCGAGCGGGTATGGCTGGGCCATTATCTCCGCCGTGAAGGGTGTCCTCAATAAGGAGGCTAATTGATCGACCGGGGGTCTCACTGCGTGCTCGTTTCGAAACCGAGCGAATTTCGCTTGGAGGTCGTTGAGCAGTCCGCGGGTTTCGTTAAGCTCAGCCGTCTGGGCCTGGGTCGGCTCCTGGGCGCGTCATCGACGGTGTGATTTTGACCCACTATGCGCAGACGAACCCTCCTGGCTACCCACTACTAATCGTTGCCGCATTGCTGGACAGAGCCGCTCAAATGCTACTGCCCGGTTGGCTTCGACCTCAGGGTCCTCCGCCTGGGCATGTATCTCCGGTTGTGCTTGCTGAGCCTGCTATGGTACCTCCATGGCCTCTGCACCCTGCGACCCCAACCTCGAACGAGCCGAGCGTCTAACCCGGGAAGTGGGCTGATGCTCCGGCTCGGTCTAGACGGTCGGGTAGATCGGAGGAGCTGGGGCTGGAGCCGTGTACGCAGGCGTATAGGGGGGATAACCAGTCGGTGGTGTATAGAACATCGGTTGACCGGGCCAATATCCATATTGTGGAGGTGGGACCGGGTAAGGATACTGCCCGGGATACTGGAACTGTTGACGGGTGGTGGATATCCCGGTTGGATATAACTGACCGGCTGCTAGGTGGCCGGGTATTGTGCTGCTGGATGAGGCGGTGAGAGGTTGAGGTAGAGGTCAACGGTCTGACCTTGATACTGGGTGTGCTGGTGATCAGACGAGCTCGCTGCGTCTGCTTGATCATCGCCGAGAAGGTTGTACGCAAATGGATACATGGTGAAAGATAGAACCGGCGCTCGTCAAACGTTAGCTTACTTGCACGAATGCCCACAGACGACGCCAAAATGATAGTACTAATTCCACGTAGAGCGGTTAAAGTAATAACAAGACCAAATAAAGCAAATAAATCTTTTATTGATCGAGTGAGAAAGACCTAATACAATCTAAGTGGCTATTCCAAGGGCCGACTGACTGCGGTCGGGATGCTCTGTAAATAGCCTATCGATCGTTCCAAAAGTCCCTCACACTGTTGCCGCCGTGGGTATTTATAGCCGCTAGGCCGGAGACACAGCTCCGGCCGGCCGGCATGTAGCCCACGTAGCAACCACGTGTCTTCACCCCGCGAGCCCTGCCTGTCAGCGCCTAACACTGCCACGTGCCTCTTCTCGATTCTCTCGTCTAAGGGCTATCGATCGGGAACTGAAGACGCCGGTCGGGTACGACCAGGTTATTCCAAGAATATCCGACGTGTAACCTGCATAAATAAGAATAAAACACGTGGCATGTCTGTCGGGGTATTCCCTACCACATTTATTATATATATATATATATATATATATATATATATATATATATATATATATATATATATATATATATATATATAAAATACGCTACTGACCACTGCTGACCATTGAGGAGGACGAGAGATTATGAAGAACTGAAAAACGGAAATTATTTCGCACGTTGGAGGGTTCTTGCTGAGTTCTCGTCGGAGACTAGGAAGTAAATTTCACATTATGACCATTTTTATTTAAATAAAATTACATGTCAGCAGTGTGGAGTTGCAACCTGGAGGTAACCTGCAAAAAAAGCTAATTCCCAAATTTTTAGAGGTAAGTGTGTCAAATTAGATTATGTTTTAGTTAATAGGGGAATTGAGCACTTCGAAGTAGTAGATAGGCCTATTTGACACTTGTGCCTTAAAAAAAATACAATTTTACTCTCTACATTGTTGTAGACTTGTAGCCATATAGTGATACAATTTAATTTTTTATAAAATTGGATTAAAAGTCAAATTAGTCATTGAATTATACACAAAAATGTAATTAGTTATTTAATCAAATTATATTGAAAACTAAAGCAGAATGAAGGAAGCTGGAGAAGACACACTCCAAGAACAAAGAGGAAAGGAAGAAAAGAAAATAGGAAAAAAAACAACAACTCAACCTCTACGTAAGTTGGTAACGGGAAGGAATGAGAGAAAACTAGCTGCTAGGTTCAGTGGTCAATTTGGCCTTTATTCCTATACGGAATTTAAACAATTTTATTGGTGGAGGACTAGAAATGGTCATGCCACAATAATACTAAGACTAAATCAAAATGTTTTTTTTAAAGGATTAAAAGTGAATTGTCAAATGTCACTGAAAACACAAAAAACTTGAATTGTATATATATTACTAGTTGTTCACTCGCATTGCACGAATGAGTTAATGCCTAATGTTTATAATTAAATAAATATTTGAAAGTATATTAATGCAAGATTATATATAAGAAATTCATACATAAGTAATTTAATGTCGAATTTGTTTATTTAAATATGTAACTCATCTAATATAATCTAACTCTATAATAAAGCAAGAAGTTTTTGGCAAAAGTTTTTCCCGCCCATTTGATACTACGACGTTTTGAGAAGATATCATAGATAGAATATCCAGTTATTTAATCGCGTGTGTAATGACATTACACATTGGGAATTTGCCTAGCCGTTTTAATAGAGAAAACTCTTCATAATCTGAAGTAATTCAAATATATCCATGCTACAGTCCTTGCTTCCCAAGCAGTTCATTTAATGTAGAACTCTTGGTAGTCTAAACTATAACATTGTCATCATCGGATAACAAAAGCCTAACTAAAGAGATGCTCACAGTAAAAAAAAAAAAAAGAAATTTATACAGCGAATACGGAGAGTTTAAATCTGCATTTTAAACATTCAATGAAATCGTCTATTTCCCATAAAGTGGCTGCTGTTCATAAACTTGAAATCTTCAAATCTTCAAACTCTATAAATAACCGGCTTCTGGGTGCAAATATTCCTTCCGGAAATCAGATTATTGTCCTAGCATTTGAAATCACTTTTGGTTGAACAAATGCCTTCAATGTTCATAGCTGTGAAAAACATCAAACTTGAACACCAGCTCAGGGCAATCCGGGTTAGAGCAGTACCGGTATACGAAGTTCCAGAGAAAAGGGGAGAGGGCCAGACCAGTAAGAGTATGGAAGTGTTGTTGCATGATGAAGAGGTACTCCTTTTTTTTTTTTTTTTTTTTTTTAGTGCATCATATTACTGCTATCTACTAATCTAATCCTATTTCAAATCTTACTAATTTCTGTTTTTGTGATTGGCAGGGAGACTACATTCATGCCACCATTCAAAAAAAAAGATGTGATCAAATATAGAGAAATATTAAAAGAGGGGAAACTGTTCGAAATTAAAAATTTCATGGCTGCCACAAATTACTATGTGTACAAGATTATACAACATGAGTATATGATCAAATTCAACTATAAATCACAAGTGAAGGAGATAAATTCTATATTTCTATAGGCTTTCCTTTTAAAATGTTTCGCTTAAAGTGTTTCATTTCTTTAAAAGACACAGTCGATATTAATGACAAGGAACTTATTGGTACTATCTCTACATTTGTAAAGTTTTTTAATATCTTACTAAACTGAACTGCTAACATCTTACTGTAATTCTTTCTAACTTGGCAGATGTTATTGGTCGTGTCATTGAGATCTATAATCCTATGGATAAGATTATAGGTGCACGACTTATTGACTTTCAAATTGCAGACAATGCGTAAGTTTTAAATAAATTTACTTTGCTTCAATTATCCCAATTACTCTATTTAGTCTTTAATACAATAGTTTTTTTTTTTTTTTTGTTTTTTACTGATTTGATGACAGTGAGAACACCCTGACATGTACACTGTGGAATGAACATGTATCTTCTCTTATGCCGTATTACAATAGTGATTCGAAGGAACCACTTATTGTAGTCATTCAGTGCTGTCGGGCTAAGGTGGTTAGTGGTGAGTTTCTCTATCCTGTTGAGTCTAATGTCTATTACTCAGTTCAATTACCTAATATATCTATGGCTTTTTTTTTTTTTTTTTTTTTTTTTTTTTTTTTTTTTTTAGGTGAGGTGAGAATCACCAGCTCATACGATGCTACCAAGCTTTGGTTCAATGAGGATTTTGAGGAATTCCTAGAGTTCAAGTCAAAGTAAGTAGACATAATTTAAGTCTTATTAAATTTACTCATCTACTGTAATTAGTCAGATAAAAAAATTACTCATCTACTATCTACTGTAATTAGTCATATACTGTAATATAATAAGGTGAATTATTCATCTACTGTAATTAGTCATATACTGTAAATTTACTCATCTACTGTAATTAGTCAGATAAAAAACATTTTCTGAAACAATATACTGTAATAATGTAATTCCTAGAAACAATTAATTATAAATGTTTAGGGAATTTAGTCATACTGTAATTCCTAGAAACAAATAGGGAATTTAGTCATAAATGTTTTATGAATTTAGTCAAGTATGAGCATCAGAAAATATTTTCATCACATGCCATTTTCTGAAAAAAAAATGTTAGTATATAAATAATGGAATAGTATATAAAGAACACTAAGAAATTTCTACTTACATTTAACCCAAGAGATCAGACACAGACACAGTTTGGCAGTGGGCACATAACAGCATGTCAAAACCCAAAGAAATAAGGCAAATAGGCAATTTAGTCATAAATGTTTTATGAATTTAGTCAAGTATGAGCATCAGAAAATATTTTCATCACATGTCATTTTCTGGAAAAAAATGTTAGTATATAAATAATGGAATAGTATAAAGATTATTTATAATTTCAGCAGCTATATAACAAGTCTGTTTCTTCAACAATTTTGTTGAAGGTTGAAATATGAAAATACTCCCATGAGAAGTCTTAGTACTGGCACTCTGCACTCACAGTCTACAGGCATTAGTGACTTTAAAAATGCTTCTGTCATTGTCACTACCTGCTATGATCTTAAGAAGATTCAAGAGGTAAGCAAAAAAATTTACTACCTGTTCATAATTAAATTATATCTCACTTGCTCTATTTCTTTTACACATTAATTAATCTATGTGTATTTTATAGGATGGGGAATACTCTGTTGCTGCAGAGATTTTGGGTTTAGATTGTGAGGATGGGTGGTATTATGTATCATGCATGTCACCCGGCTGTAATAAGAAACTTAAAGAAGAGGGAGGATCACTCATTTGTACTAAGTGTCAAAAGCCATATACCCAGGGTACAATTAGGTATAAAGTGGTGATCATTGCTCTAGACAAGAGTGGAGATGTTCCACTCTTGCTTTGGGATAGAGAAGTGGTAGAACTCGTGGGGATCCCTGCTTCTCTTTTGTATCAGAAATACAAGGAGGTAAATTTTTGCAAACTAAATTACCAGGTTGATGTTGAAGTACCCCCTGAGTTGGATGCTATTGTGGGAATGAAAATGCTATTTAAAATAGGTTTTAAACAGGCTCTAAAGAGGGGTATTAATTCTCCATTCAATGTGTTGCGGTGGGTAAGGGAAAAACATTTGCTGAAAACCTATAGTGACATATTTGTGGAGCATCAAGAGCAGGATTTAATGTCAAGGAGGCTTGAGGAGGAAACCACCACTCATGAAAATTCTGAAGTAAGAATTTCTTACTAAACCTCTTAATAAGTTATGTAATTTTTATTACCTAATACTATAACTGAATCATGCTTTTGTTATACACATGAAGAATCTATTGGAGAAGAGGTTAATAGTCCTGCATCTGTGCCGCCCTCTCAAAAGGATGTGGATGACACTGTTGTGAATTCAGTAACTACTAAAAGGTCACTTTTGGATGAGTTTTCTTCATCCAAAAGTCGCAAGAAGTTGAAGGAATCCAACATCAAGAGGAAAAAATGTAGCATGATTTGTTCTTAAGAAATATTGTTATCATGATCTAGACAATTTAGTATTATGTATTTTGCTAATCCTGCGTGATCCTACTTATGACACTGTTGTTGTTCTATTATTTTCTAAGGTTGGATAACTGTTTTGCTATTATTGTATAACTGTTTATCACTACTTGATATTAACTACTGTGACTAACTGCTAATAGGTCATATTGCTATGTGTAATTCATGGAAGTGAGGTTTTTTTGCAGGTGAATAAGGTACAAACAGCAACTTGCTAGAATAAAGAATATGGAATATTCAGTGGCTATTGTTTTACCACTGTAATTTGTTTCGACTGTAATTTTGGGCCTAACTCCCAAATTTGGTCAAATTTTGGATAATTGATTTCTATGGGACAGTTTTATATTACCTATCTTTCATTTTTTCTTGATTTTTTGTTTAGGTACAGTCTCAAGAATGATGGGTGATGCAATGGAATAATTAAATATTCAACA